TTAAGCGTCCGACTTTCGCTTAGGTCATGATCTCGCGGTTCGTGGGTTCGAGCCCCGCGTTGGGCTCTGTGCTTACTGCTAGCTTGGAGCCTGGAGCCTGCTTCAGAGTCTGTGTCTCCCTCTCTCTCTGACCCTCCCCTGCTCACGCTGTCTCTCTCTCTCTCTCTCTCCTAGAAATAAATAAAAATATTAAAAAAAAAAAGAAAATATATATGCATACATTTGAATCCAACCACTTTTTACCACCTCTGTCACTACTGTTCTATTTCAAACTATGGTCATCTCCCACCTACAATATTGCAACAGCCTTCCAAAACATCTTCCTGCCTTTAACTGTGTCCCTACCTCAGTCTGACCTCTGCACATAACAGCAGAGTGATGTCTTAAGCCTGCTGTTATATTCTGTTAGAATAAAACCCAACTCTTTATAAATGTGTTGCTCTTTATTAAACTCCCTTGGCCATTGTCTCCCTGGGCCAGCTATCCCCAGAATGTTCTCCTTACAGTGGGCTCCCTGACTTTGTTCAGGTCTCTGCTTATATGTCCCCTCCTCATAGAGGCCCTTCCTGACCACCTAATCTCCATCATCCTCCCAATGCGCACATATGCATGTGTGCAAACACGTATATACTGGTCCACAGTCCTATACCTTCCTCTGCTCTAACAGTTCTTTTTACTACCAGATGTCATATATTTATTTATTTACTTATTGCTCTGTTTGCTCCTCTTGACTTAACCTCAACGAACTGTTGACAGCTGCTTTCCTTGACCTTAGCCATGACTGGTATATAACAGGAGCCCAAGAAATACCTGCATCCTAAAAGGCAGGCTTGGAAACTAAGTGTTGGAGGCTTTGCATGGTAAATGTGAAGTGTAAGAAGTTGCTGATGGAAGCGTGTTCCAAAGCAGGTAACTGCTCATGTCCAAAAGGATTCTCCTTTAAAAACAAAGTCCTTAAGTAAGAATGATAGTACTTCAGAAAGGACTGCTCACAGCAGAAGTGAGTGGAGGGTGGGGGAGAGATGAGGTAATGGCTGTTAGAGTAGAGAGAAAAATCTAAGAGACTGGTGCTTGTAATACATTATCATCAATAATTGGCATTTCAATGAGAAAGGGTTTAAAGGTCTCCTGAGCAGGATTCACTTAATATTTAAGGAAAATACCTTCAGAAGATGATGCCATTTAAGTAAGAAAGAGACTTGCTGAAAGTTTGTTATGGTATGCAGGTCAGCCCTAAGAGATGAGGAAGAATGGCATTTTGATAAGAAAAATGCTGAGTGCTTTCAGACATTCCTGGTGTGATCCAAGGTGTAATGGGTGACAAATCATAATATTGTGGTCTGGTGTCAAATTTTCAAGAGACCATATTGGGGCCCAAAATGGAGTTCCACCGTAGTGTTTTGGACTTCTTTAACTTTCGAAGAAGAAAATTAAAAAAGTAAATGAAAATTTTTAAAATGAGCTTATAGAACAAAGTTTTACTTAAAAGTATTTTTTTAATGTTTATTTTTAAGAGAGAGAGAGAGACAGAGCGTGAGTGGGGGAGAGGCAGAGAGAGAGGGAGACACAGAATCTGAAGCAGGCTCCAGGCTGTCAGCACAGAGCTCAAACCCATGAACCATGAGATCACGACCTGAGCTGAAGTTGGATGCTTAACCTACTGAGCCAACCAGGTGTCCCCAAGTTTTATTTTTAATAGGGGTGGAAGAACTACATTACTTCTAATTATGACATAAAGAAAAAAAAACAGTGTCCACATTAGAAAGTAGAGTTGCTATTCTTTTTTTTTTTTTTTTTTAATATTTTTATTTATTTGTAGGAGAGAGAGAGAGAGAGAGAGAGAGACAGTGTGAGCAGGGGAGGGTCAGAGAGAGNTTTTATTTATTTGTAGGAGAGAGAGAGAGAGAGAGAGAGAGACAGTGTGAGCAGGGGAGGGTCAGAGAGAGAGGGAGACACAGACTCTGAAGCAGGCTCCAGGCTCTGAGCCGGCAGTCAGCACAGAGCTCGACGTGGGGCTCGAACCCACGAACCGCGAGATCATGACCTAAGTGAAAGTCGGACTTAACCGACTAAGCCACCCAGGCATCCCTAGAGTTGCTGTTCTAAAGTGCTGACTGGGGATAGACTGCATTAGTCACTCCTTAGCTCTAAACACCTTTCTGCTCCTTCGTGCTTAGTGGGGTAAATACAGTAAAAAGAGAAAAAGATTCATGAGTCTCTCACCTGGAGGGCAACCTGCAATCGTGGTTTGTCTGGGACATGGGGACCCAGGGACATGGAACTTCAATGATAAATCTAAGTCTTAGGCAGCCGGGACAAGTCGATCACCCTCTTACGATTAAGTTTAGGGACAGAGCTGCTGTAAACCTAACTCACGGCATCTTTCACTCCAGCTCGCAGGCAAATTGCTGACCCAGAGCCTTTTTATTTCCCGTGACCTCAGAGATCTCCCCTGGGTGTCTTGAACTTTCTCTTTCCATTTAATTATTTTCACTGAATGAGAGCCTGTGGGTTTCTACGAATCCTCAAATACAGTTCCCAAAGGAGGGAAGGAGGAAAATTATGTTTATAAATTATGATAATTCCAGTGACAATATGGCTCTCCCTGCACCCCCCACCTTGCTCCAGCTTACTGTCACTTAACCCACCTTGGGGTCTCATCCCCTACCGCAGACCTAATCCTGTTTGTGGACTCGAAGCAGTTCAGGAGTCTCTAGCCTGCTTCTCTGAACTTGTCCTCGGCTTGGTACCTGGGTGCACACCTCTCTCCTCCCTGTTTACCCTCGATCACTGACTGGGCCCCCACTTGTTAATGTTTCTGTGTGCTGCCACCTCCTTGGTGATCTAGAAGGGTCCCCTGTCTCTCTGAATGGCATGAGGCATGTGCACGGGGTCCTGGTTCTTCCAGCACGCCTGACATCATGACCAGCCTTGGCCTGCTCTTTGACTTCATGCCGCTGGGCTCCGCTCCTCATTGAGGCCAGGGCACCCACAGGGGCCTCTCTGGGCCTCCCCTGCAGAGCCATCCACACACACAGCATCTCTGTGAGCTTTCAAGAAAGGTGACCTTCTGGGCACATAAATTAGCAAATGGTGGATGACCGTCTAGGATGACCAATTAGAGAAAAAGGCATCCTTTCCTTGGGCAGCCTGTAAGGTGTAAAGTTTGGTGAACAGAGCCTTGGCTGGGTTTTAACTTCCCCTGGCACTGCCTTAGCTGAGTATATACTTAGCTCTCCTCCTAACTACTGACTAACTGGCCTGGCTGCCACCGGGTCCCCGCACAATGACATGCTTTGTGTGTCTGGACAGATGTTGCCTCATTACTGAGCACTGAACCTGACTCTCAATTTGTTCTTTGTCTCTCATGCTCCTGCATCTTTAGGGCCACTCCCATTTAGATGCTCATTCTTAACCTGATGGTGTATAAAAGGTACTGCTTTAGCCTATGAAAATCTAAATAGATACCACAAATGAGACAACATCTGCCCTTCCAATCAACTATCATAATACAACTCAGTTTCAGTATTACAAAACCAACTACCTACTGGTTATACTGCTTTGTTACATTTGATCTCCATGGGTTTCTGGCTTGATTTAAGACTTCTCTATTTTCTTTTTCCAAAAGATGTTGATCTTGGGAGAATCCTGTTTTCTCTTTCCAAAAAGACAGTTGGGGATTCTTAGATAGAAGACCGTTTCCTCATACAGTTTGGACTTCTGGCCTACCCCAAAATGTACAATTCCAGACTCCTCTGTGTCAAAGATAAAAATGTGAAAGCTGGCTGCTTAAACAGGCATAGCACCTATAAGGGGGAGCCAGAAAAGAGAAGTATAAGAAAGAGAGACGATGGACATCCCAGGACTGGGAGTGAAGGTTCTGGCGAAGACAACCCATCGTGAGCAGGATGCAGACAAAAGAACAGAGAGGAGAACATCCATTTGGAGAAGCTGAATCACATCACATTGAGCTTTTGGGAACGTATTCAGCCAAAGACAATCTTTTGCTATTTGGAACTGCAGGCTCTGAAAGTTTAATCAATTAGATCCAAATTTCCCCGATGGAACCTACAATGACCCTTAAGCTTGAGACTGCCTGGAATCCTCCTCAAGTGTTACTTTGTGGAAACAAATTGAACTTTATTTTGTGAGGAGAGCCAGGAGATTATTTTCATAGCTCTGTTACTTTTAAATGCCAGTCCCTTCCTGATTTGGGGAGCACTACTGTTTTCACAATGATACCTTTTCATAGCTAATTGTGGGCACAATAAACAGCATAGAGCACTCGAGTATTGAAGAGATAATTTTAGTGTAATCACTAGGTACGTATTACGGGGTGCACATAAATATGCACGTATATCTAACTACATATACTTTTAAAGATGAATAAATACATACATAAAATTAAGATACCAAATGAAAGTTTATGAAGATGGTTATACAAGATACTTTTGTTTGAAGAACATCAGTTCCCTTGAAATGCCTTCGCACAGGCAGATCTATGCTAAAGCCAAAACCTGTGGGTATGTATGTATACATGTATGTATACATATATGTGTATATATGTATATGTGCGTGTGTGTGTGTGTGTGTGTATATATATATATATATATATATATATATATATATATACACATATATATGGTATATTTTAGCCACCAAAAATAGCTTAATAAATAGAAACAATTTCTCTAGGGTGCCTCCCCTCCTTAAAGTACTGTGTAAAGGATGTAGGACAACACTGGAAAGGAAAGTGCATCAGCATGCATACACCCCAGAGGGGGTTGACAAATGTCCACTTGTCCTGTGGCCATGTATCTTATGCACCCAGTCCTCTCCTCCAGATGACTTCCTCGGGATCTAACCACTGGCCCAGCAGACACATAGTGATACGTGCTTGAAACTTGCCCAAGCATTTATACTATTGCCACATGGTATACTTTGAGTCACTCTCACCAGGCTTCCTACGAGGCGCGACAGTGGGAACGGTAGCTACTTACTTGTGTTTATCTTCTGGAGGGAAATGTGCTTTTCCAGTTGTCTCCTCAGCTTCACCTCAGCGCCATACTTGCCGGTGGTGCCGTTGTCAGCCAGAATGAAGTGGGAATGCATGCTGTTGAGCACAGTGAGCTTGCTCATGGGGTTGGACATGGTCTGATATGGCCGCACAACCTGCAGGGTTTCAAAAGGAAGAGGCGGAAGTCAGAGAACAAAAGGGCAAAATATGAAAAGGCGAACCAGACAGAGAAGAAACAGGGAGAGAAGGAAAAATCAATTCTTCGGTACAGTGAAAATAGAGTTTATATCCTCTAATACCATGGTGGGTAGAAGCAAATGTTATGGTCCGTGTTCCCCAGTCCAAGCAAGATTATAAAGAATAATGTATGTATTTAGACGCTGAACCTATAGGGAAACTAGAGTTTGTGTTCTCTTTGGCTCAAAATCTGCCATGTGAATGACTGTTTCATGTTGACCGTCTTTTGTATGCTGATGAACAAATAATTTTAACATTAGTTATTTTGGTTTTTTTATCTTTTCCACAATGTCCATACTCTTTTTTTATGTTTATTTATTTATTTTTTTATTTTGGGAGAGAGAGAGAAAAGAGAGCGAGAAGGGAAGGGGCAGAGAGAGGAGAGAATCCCAAGCAGGCTCTGCGTTGTCAGTGCAGAGCCCAACTCAGGGCTCAAACTCACAAATCATGAGATCATGACCTGAGCTGAAATAAGGAGTTGGACGCTTAACCAACTGAGCCATCCAGGGTCCCTACAGGATGTCTGTACTCTTAATAGGCACAGCAGAGCAATCACAGTTCTGGAATCTGGGGTGGGAGGGGTCAGTCAGGGTGATCTTTTCTGTCAAGCCCATTCAGTAATCTGAAGGTCTGTTAATTCAAAAATCAACACTGTTCTTATTAGATACCTTATTTAAGTGGAAATGTTGAATGTCAAATACCTGTCTCGTGAGATGAATATGAATCAAATTGTTCATCTCTGTCTTTTTGTGTGTGTGTGGTTGCGTTATTTTAATTTCGTGATGAATTATACTCCCTAAATCAGAGTCATTCTTAGTGTGGTCTTTCAGATTTTTGATATAAAAAGAAAAGGAACACCTATTGTGAGTTTTAGCTGCTGTATCTAATTGCTTTACCTACATTATCTATAGTCCTGGTAACAATCTTGTGCGATGCTGATGCTGATCTTGTAGATAAGAAATAGAAATGGAGGTAAAATAGGTTCTTCAAGAGTATGTTACACACAAAACCAGAATTTACATCCAGGTCTGAATCTAAAATCTGTTCTAACCCCCCTTCCCCACACAGTTGAAACACAATGGAAACAAGATGATGTTCTGGAAATCTCCTAAAGTATTTAGGTAGAGACTTCACTCAAGATTATGAAATGGAACATTGAATGAGCTCATTGTTACACAGGCCCAGTACAGTTATCCCTGTACTAAATCATCAGAATTGACAGGATGGAAATAAATGCTACAGGGTTTTTATTTCCTGCCTTTGTGTACTGTGTACATTAATTACAGAGTTGAGATGCTCTTGTTCACCTTTAGTATGTAATAACTCACCACGAAAAGCTGTAGTAAGATTGAGTAGTTTGTTAAAGAAATTACAGAGTGATTTAGTAAGGGCAGTCTTCAATAGTAAAGATCTCATAAAAGGCATTTTTTAGACCTTGATGCTGATTTCAAAATCCATTTCTATGTGCCTGGCAAACAGAATCTACTTGATAAATAGTGAATGAATGACCAGGAAAACTTGAGACAGGCATGCTTTTGTTCAAAATTAGAAAAAAAAAGGACCCTCTTTTCTGAATTGTTTGGGAATTGGTCTAATCTAAATTTAAAATGTGTAATTTTAAGCTTCTGAAATGTCCTTCATTCCTTTTAATATATGTCTTATTTGTTAATGTAGCATTAATACAACATTAATTCATAGCTTCATTTTAGTTGACTCTTAATGATAAAGGAAGCTCATAACGTTTTGATTATTCTTTCCAGTAATGGATGGGATTTTTTCCCCTGTAATGGAACAGTATTCAATTACTCCTTTGTCTAGATGAGTGAACAAGAGTCCCCCCAAATACAGAGAGAGTGGTGTGCTGACTCCATCCTGAGTTCTTTCTCACTGGAAGAGTGGGTCACTTGTGGTTGAAATTCTCATTTTGTTGTTACTCATTTTTGATCATAAAACATTCATTCTATAGCAGAGTGCAAGTTAATAAATATTAATGCTTTGTTGAAAGAGGCTTAGCAGATGGGCTTTCTCCTATTCTTAAAGTGCCTCTGCATTGTGCCTTTGGATAAAAGAAAATTCTTTCGTTACTGTTCTCTATTTTCTGAGAGCAGGTCTCCAAGGCTCCATGCCACGGAGGAGGAAGGCCCAAAGAATTTCTTTAAGAGGCAGGGGACAGTGGATTTTCTAGAGGTTAAACTACACATGATAGTGAATCCCAAACACTTGTTCCAGGTGAGACATGAGAATACATTTTCTAATTCCTGGGAATTAATTAAAGAGTATCAGTGAACATCAAGTTTTCAATTGGATAAAGTAGCAAAAATAATTCTGGGCCAACTGACACACTTACCACAATCTGAGAATAACAGAACATCATCAAATCATCTAACTATACTCTGTATGTCCGTTTCCTTCACAACAGGATTCTAAGGAGAGTGGTGCTTCAGTTTTCTGAGTTTTGACCTTTTTTACTTGTGAAACATGGTGTACCAACTCATTGGGAACACTATCCATTTGAGTCAGTCATGGCTAGAGGGTTGGATTTACAGCATCACTCATGAAGTTTCACTTCTTCGTCTAAGTGCTCTCCATTTCATTTGATCTTATATGGAGGTAAGTTAGAGGTGCTCATATCTTGGTAGAGAGTTTTTCTGCTGCATAATAGGGGATATACATCTGAAAAATAACGAAATGCCCTAATTTACGTTCCTGTCATCACTGGAGGGAGATCTGCTGAACCCTGGAGAATCCTGAACATATGAGCCGTGGAGATCTGTTTGAATCCCCTTAGTTCTGCAAAGTGGCTGTGTGAATCAGAGGCACACATTTTTAATCTGTTAAAGGGAAATGATAAAACCACTTATCTCATGTGGGTTAGATGAGATTTTAGGTGCAGAGTACCTGGCACCTTGCCTAGTTCCTGGCAGGCAGTATATAAATGTGAATTCCTTCTCAAGCTCCGATTTATTTTACCAACTGTAAACTGATTTTCCAATTGCAAGCTAGTGACCAAAATGACAGACAAATCACACCGACTTTTGTTTTACACAAGGGATTTAAATCAATCAATTTAAGTTGAGAAAAAAATTAGCAATCAGTTGGCAAAACACACAAAGTGTTTTTTACTTTGTCACCACTCTCAGGCTGCTTAAGAGGGTGACGCTCTGGAATTATTTGTGGATTAACTTCAAAGTTGGAAATAACTTCCCAAGTACTTCAAGAGAGGAATGCATCTTGGTCTAACTTGCCTACAAAATCCACTTAATATTCTTCATAACAAACATACCAGCAGACTATTCTTGTTTGAGTTACAATTTGCATATCTCCAAAAGATTTGCTGATCTTCCTGTTATGTTTCTCAAATAGGAAAATAATAATGTCTTTGTGCCACATGAATACAGATGGATTCTTCCCTCTAACAATATTATGGAGGTAACGCACCCACTTTTATTGTTAAAGGCTCATAGAAAAGGATTTTTTTTGGAAAGTAAGTGTGTGTGTGTGTGTGTGTGTGTGTGTGTGTGTGTGTGTGTGTTGTGTGTATGAGAGTGCATAGCAAGAACAAGTGTGACATGTTCAGGACTTGCAGGTATATGAGATCGCTCTACCTTGTTTCTCAGCCAGTGATTTCTGAGAGAATCAAGCCCTAGTGCCTGTACATAATGGACCACTTCTCCTAAGAATATAAGATGGTCCAGGTTATGTACCATCTTTGAGAGAATGAAGAAGATATTCACTGAAACGATTTTCTCTGTTTGTGTTTCAGATGAGGAATCTGGGAGGAGAAAGGCTGAATGATATCAGAAAAGCCTACATATCAAGGGATCTTGTATGATTGGTAAATACAGGACTATGTGTACCGAGAAGGGAAATTTGCTTAGAAGTGGATTTTAGATACTTTGCACTCTTTGGGTATCATGGGCCAGGATACTCCTAGGTGATGACATTTTACCCCTCTTTCTTGTCCCTCTTGGGGAGATGAGAGAATTCTTCACTCTTTAATACACTATACACCACTTTGTGCTGGCTGACTGGTAAAATTCTCATTCCAAGGCCTCTGTATACCTTGATTCTAAAAGAGAGGCCATGAAGTGGAAGCTGTCTAAGAAGTTAATGAAGGTGAAGGCCCTTTGTGTCATGAACTTGTAGGTCATTATCAATGCCAGGAGGGGATTGCTCCAGAGACACCATGGAAAATCTGAACATTCCTTACGGGCTGGTGTCAGTATGCTGCATTTCTTATCCATGGATGGGCTTAAATGCATCATTTTGGAGCTGATCTAAGATACCAGCTTACATTTTCCTAACTATTTTCAAGTGTGTTCTGGTCTTACTCAGGGGTACTTAGTGGGAAGTCAGGAGATGGAGATTCTAGTTCCTTTCAGTTACTAATTTGTGACCCAATTACTAATTTGTCACTCTTTCAACTCATTCATTCCTTCATTTGTTCACTCATTAAGAATATCTTGAGGAAATGTACGTGATGAATATTGGGCTGGCTTGAGGAAACATATAATCTTGCATCTATGTAATATCTCTCACTAAGTGTTCAAATTATATGTATTGAAAGAAACCTTTTGGGTGGTAGTTTCTCATCTATAAAGTAGTGGGTTTGGCTGTAATTTCTGAAGGTTTTCTACCTGTAAGATGGAGTCTGGACAGCCTTTGTTGAAAAGTACATTTGCTTCTTCCAAGTTAGTACAGAAAAATGACACAAAAGTGGGTTCTGGGATCTCTTATCTTTGGTGGTCCTTTCTTTGATGCAAGGGCAGTGTGTTTGTCTGCAACTCTTTCCTGAACAGAATTAAATTGAGCTAAATTGGATTTTTGAGTCATCAATCATAGGATTTGGGCAATCCCTAAACTTATGACCTGGAAAGGTATGTATCCACATGCCCCTGGCAAGTAGCAGGCTATCGGA